TTATGATTTTATTGGCTAAATCTAATATGCATGATCGGGATCATCATATCCTAATTTGGGACGGTCCTACCTCGAGGATTCAAATCATTCTAAAAAATTACAGACCCGGACTCGAATTATTGGCCGATTCCGGGCGGATCCGGGTATTACGGTTCTGGTTTGCGGAACACTACCAGGAAGTCAATTTTGCTTATAAACGTATCTAACTTTAATTAAAGTGACTGTAATTCAATAAAATAAAATTTAAATTGAGTTTTACTCCACTTTAGACATCCCCCATAAAAGATGCAATAATTGACACTGCCCATATTTAGTAAGCAATGACTGTAATATATTAAGATTTTACTTAAGAGTTATTAGCAATACAAATATACAAATATATATATATATATAAATTTTCTACAAAAGAAATATATGACATTAGAAATTCTAAAAAAATATGAATTTTACACATAAATTACGTATAAAAAAAATAATGACATGAAAATGAATTAAAATGAATAATATGAGAATAGAAATTAAAGGAAATTACAATTATTATTGCATTTATAAATTCCAAAATCGCAGATTCGAAAAAACGCATTAAATAGTTAAAGCCAAATTTTGTAGATAAGCTAAATCTATGAATCATTTGAATTAATTCTAGGAAGCGGTTCATACCGCAAATATAGCTCTTCCCTGAAATGACGATGTCTATAACGTAGTATAACGTAGTAATTATTATTAAGTACTTTCTTTAGAAAATAAAACAGAAGGGGTGCCACTTACTTGATGCCTCTCGGCTGTCTTGCCTCTTCAAAATAGCGAATCGCATCAGATACAGAGATGTGCAATTCTTCGATCATATAACAACAGATCATGAACCCTGTCCGATTAAATCTGAAACCGAAATGCAAAAATAAATTAAATTAAAAAAAAAATAATAAAATAACAAATAAATAAATAAATAAATAACAAATAAATAAATAAAAAAAAAAAGTACTGCACTAATAGGAATGAACGGGTAAATACATATATAACAAATATGATTTCATTAAATAATTAAGAGTTTAAGCTCACCCATAATGACAATGAACAGCGATTTGTTTATCAGGCTTTTTGCTCCACGCATCTTTGGCAATTTGAATAAACATCCGTACTTCTTCTCGTGATGGTGGAATTTTACTTACTGTGCTAAGTTTGTTATATTTAATATGTGAATTATCAAAGCTTTGTGTTCTATAAGATGGTGGATCTTTGGTTATATCAATGATACTACATAATAAATGTAAATAAATATAAGGTAAAAATATAAGACCAACGTTACAAAATACATATAAGGAAATTTGACCTACAATCCTATCTCTGGATGCCGCGCCATAAATATTTCTGGAGAATGTTCTTCGTCACCTTGCCGCATAACCTTAAGAAATAAGACGAGAGTCAATCAGAATAATTACATACATTAAAAATATATATAATTATAATAAAAAAAACAAACCTTCATTGGTCTAAATAATGTACGATTGACAGTTCGGTCGGCTATCGTTGGAGTTTGTTTCCACTATAATTAAATGCCACATGAGAGCGACGAGAGTATTTTTGGTCACGATCTTAAATTATAAAACAATATTTGATGACTGGAAAAGAATAGAAAAACAAATCTGAAAAAAATTCACGCGTCGAACCCAGTTTCCATTATCGGAAAAATATGAATCCGACGCAGCTAACAGCATGAATTTATTTTTCAGCCGGCACACCTTTTGATAATTCTTCATAGACCATTTATTCTCATCTTTCGTTTTTTGAGCAATTTGCCACCCAGGATCAACTGTATTCAATCCACATACTTTTATCAAAAAATCATTGATGATCAAATTGACAAGGTCAGGTTTCTCCACCATTGGATTATGTCCCGCTTGCGGAATCACCACTGGATCAGGTGTATTTGGCGAAGTACACCACTCATGAACAAGAATCAGATCACACTGAGGGCTAATTCGGTCCTAAAAAAAAACAAAATAAACAAAATAAACAAATGAATAAATTATTCAAATTATTCAATAAATTATTCAATAAATTATTCAATAAATTATTCAATAAATTATTCAATAAATTATTCAATAAATTATTCAATAAATATCATTTACATCATACTTATATATTTAGTCGCTTACCTCTTGACCTGCTATGAGCAACAACGGACATTGAATTCCGCGAATATCTTCACGACTTATCCATTTAAAACCACCAAGCATACGTTTCCACACAAAAGTTTTTGATTGTTTATTCCATTTTAATTGTTTTGTTCGTAATCCAACATTCGCATCTTTATGTAACATACGATTTACACTATGAGAATTGACTCCACCGCGACGATCAAATAAAACGCGGAAAGCATCAAAAAATATATCAGGGTAGGATTGAATTTTTTTTCGTTGTAATA